CATGATCAGCTGTAAAACCGCAGCATGGAAGATTTATTCATACTTATACAGAAGAATCTGGCCAGCACTAAATACGGAACCAATGGTCAGCACTAAATTGGCGCTACAGGGAGGGGGGATGGACTCGGATCTCTTGTGGCAACGCAAGAACTGTAAACTGATGATGCATTTAACTTGGCCCACCCAGCTCTTCCTGTTCTTTTCCGACATCTCCGTAGACAGTAGTGATGGTTTCCAGGCTAAAGTCCTTGGATTCCTGATGCCAATGGCCATGCAAACTTCTTAAGCCTTGGGTGTGGCCATGAGAAGGTCTCTTCCTAGACTTTGGTTTCTGTAAAACTGGAATGATCCAATAAATTTCCCCTTGCCGTCCCTAAGTTTAAGCATCCTGACCTCTTCCAAATATGAAGAAGTTGACATTGAGGCCATGGCGTCAAACTGTAGACCATGGACTAGTAAAAACCAGAGCTTTTTCACCCTTTCCTTGAGAAAGACTGATTGTCTCTTCTTTGGGTCTTTGATGGGTTTCAGACAAGGCCAGGAATGGAGCGTTTCAGGATCTAGTTGTTGTTGTTGTTGTTGTTGTTGTTATTATACAATTGTATCACAGCGGCCAGTTGTTTCGCCGGATTTGGCATTGGTTACTAGTCGGGCCCCANCTCTTGCCTTTTTCCTTTTACATTTTTTTTTCTTTTCAAAACTTTTGGGATCTGTTGTTTTTTTGTACCGTCGGGATAATCCTGAGGTTGCATTTCAACATTATAATTCATATTTAATCTTGGCAAATGGCCCTGAGGTTTGAATTTCAGAGCTACTATTTTTATTTCTTCTCGTTCCACTAAGATGGTCTAAGGACGTCACAGATTGGTCAAATGGGAGGAAACTATTTCCTTTTCTGAATTATGAAGTGGATGTTTCATTTCCAGTCCATAATTAGCACTTATAGCTACTCGGATTTAGTATTTTCCCTTTAGGTTTCTAGCAAACAGTTTATCTCGATCCTCGTTATATTTAATTTACATTTTCTGCTAGGCTTTGATACTATATGGCACCTGATGTTTTTTTTTAAATCATTACAGAACCAAGTGATTTTTATAGGCAACACAAGTTGCCGTGTGATTAATTTGCCAACAATATCTTAAGAGGTGCAACACTTATGGAGTCTAAAGAATAAACACGGGGACTCATCATTCAAGGATTGGGCAACAGTACATTATTTTGCAGCCTTGCTCTTGTTTAAAATAATACTTCAGGTGGATTTAAGAATGTACTACAGTTCTAAGCCACCCACACGGTGCATCCCTTTGGATAGTTTTTCAGGATATTAAAGCAAGCGAACCTGCAATATTGAGAAAAAAAACCACCCCACAATATTGTTTGGAAGTAAGAATCCTTGCAAAGGGCAAAATAGGCAATCAAGAATTACATACATCATAAGAAATATGTAGTTGTGCAAACCATTTTGAGTTCTTTGCCCTTCCTTCCTTCCTTCCTTCCTTCCTTCCTTCCTTCCTTCCTTCCTTCCTTCCTTCCTCTCATTCACCCACCCAACTTTTGTCAATTTTCCAATATCCATCCATCTTTCTTTCTTCTCATTTATCCACCCATGTACCCATCTTCCTTCCTTCCTTCCTTCCTTCCTTCCTTCCTTCCTTCCTTCCTTCCTTCCTCTCATTCAGCCACCCATCTTTCATCAATTTTCCAATACCCATCCATCCTTCTTTCTTCTCATTTATCCACCCATCTACCCATCTTCCTTCCTTCCTTTCTTCCTTCCTTCCTTCCTCTCATTCAGCCACCCATCTTTCATCAATTTTCCAATATCCATCCATCCATCCATTCATCCTTCATTCATTCCTTCCTTCCTTCCTCTCATTCATGCACCCATCTTTTGTCAATTTTCCAATATCCATGCTTCCCTCCCTCC